CCCCCAGTCCATTCTAACCAATCATGTATCCTAAACATGGGGCTGTGCAGAGAAAGAAGGACAACAAACCCCTTAACAAGGCAACCATCCCGGCCAACTCAAACAATATTCGTGTTTCTCCGTCTGGAAGCTCTGGGGTCCAGGGCAGCGGTGCTGCCCTCCCCTCCACCCCTTTGAGCAAGGGAGCAGAGACATCTCAACCCTCTCCTATGGACATGCTAGCATCCCACTATAAGCAACTCAAGCGAGCTTCCGGTCCCTCACCGGAATTCTATAACTGGGCCGAGAATCAGTGGTTCAAAAAGTTGTGCCAAGTCCTCGAGTCTCAAAATGCTATCATCTTGAGTCTTCTAAATGAGAATCTAGCGATCCGCGCTAATCTCCAACAACAACAACAAGAAATAACCCTCCTCCGCGAGGAAATTAGAAACTGCAAGGCAAGCCAAGACCAACTACAGCATGATTTAAATGATCTCCGTGAGGAAAGCAACCTTCTGAAAACTGATGAAGCCATTAAAAAACAGGAGGAAGCCCTCAACAAAATGACTGCATGTATCAGTACATTTTCAGCCCAGCGTTCTGTCTCCCAGGATGAACAAGACCAGCAAAAGCTGCTAGACTCTGTTATAGTGTCGTCCCAAGATATACCTGTGGAACATGATGGTGAAAACTGTGTCGAAATAGCTCTGGATCTCATAAAAGACAAATTGCAGCTCATTCTAAACAAATCTGACGTTATTGCTGCCTACAGAGTAGGCAAAAAGAATCCATCAAGTCAAAACCAACGGAAAATTCGCCTGAAGCTGTCTTCCCAGTTCACGAAATCCAATCTAGTCCGGACAGCTGTAGCCCAACGGACGGGATTATACATCAACGAGTGCTTGACTAGGAACAGACAGCACCTCCTCTACCGCCTGCGTCAAATCCGTCAAAAAAACCCAGATGCGATTCATCAGTGCTTCGTTAGAGATGGACTGATAAAGGTGAGAAAAACCGCAGAGGGCAAAATGTTCACAATTACTAAAGAAGAGAACCTCAACGCTTTCCTCTCCCAATGTGGTCTGTCTCAGCTCATTATCACTCCCAGTGAATTAACTTAATTAACCCCCTGTCAACTAGTGGGGCTAGGTTTCCTAAGTCTCATTGTTTCATTTTCTGACTTAATTTTTAACTTACTCTTAACTAGTCATTTACTGAAATTTTTTAATTGAGTGCATAAATAGTTCTTCAGGTCTTATTAATTATACAGTCATAACTGAACTATTTATAGTTAATAATCATTAGCTTAAATTTGCCTATGCTTATTATTCAACTTTTCTTTGATTCCATTTATTACCTAGGTTGCCTAGCCTCGCCATGCTCCCTTACTCCATTGTACCCCTGGCTTTGCCTGTATCTCAAATTGCAAATTGTTACTTACAGTGTACCTGAGAGTACTTGTAAGCAATCTACCTCATTTTTCATTTTTGCTCAATTTGTTTTTGTATTGCTTAGTCTTGTTTATATTTTTGTTTTGTATTTCTATATCTTGTGTTTTGTATAGTCCATGTTTATATGTTTTTTCGTTAATCTCATTTATTACCTAGGTTGCCTAGCCTAGCCATACTCCCTTACTCCATTGTACCCCTGTAAGCCCCTTTTGAGTTTGCTTTGTTCTGTATTGTGTACATCTTTTTCCCTATTTTATAGCTTATTTCTACCTTGTTATTTGCCTTTCTTCCCTTGTTTTTCCTGCAATCAGCTTTTTTTATGCAGACAAGTATAGACCCTGAACTTAACCTCTTATCCACTATCTATGACAATTATCACTTTAATGATCTAAATTGCAGATATTTTGCAGCACATGATGTAAACAATGTATTAACTCATAATCACAATATCTCTGTAATCAATTTGAACGTTAGATCCCTAGGTAAACACTTCGATGATGTTAGTGCCTTGATTGAAGCTATTGACAACAAATTCTCTTTTATTATACTTACTGAAACATGGTTGAAAGAGGATACTACTCAGCTCTTTAACATGCCTAACTACTCAGCAATTCACAACTGTCGTCAAATTCAGAGAGGTGGTGGCACTGCTCTTTACTACCACCAAGAACTAACATGCTTAAAAGAAATTAGAACCAGAGACTGCTATGGGGAGTATATCTTCGCCAGCTTCAGAGTCAAGGGTGCCGAGTCTGTCCTGACTGTGGGTGCAGTTTATAGAATTCCTAACACTGATGTGTCCGAATTCAACTCAAACCTTAGAAATCTAATACTTGATAACAGACTGAACAAAAACCACCTAATTATCGCAGGGGACTTTAATATTGACCTCTGCGAGCCTGAACACCCCACTGCTGTTAGCTTCCTCAACTGTATGAATTCCTGCTTCCTCATACCCTTAATCACTAGACCTACTAGAATCACTGATAGCACTGCCACGACGCTCGATCACATCTGGACAAACATAACCTCTCCGCTTACTTCAGGTATAATCACCGATAGCACTACAGATCATTACCCCACATTTCTCTTAACTAACATTAGCAAACCACCTCTTGAGTCAAGAGTGATACGTTTTAGACTACACAATGAAACTGCTATAGACAATTTTATAACTGCTGCTGATAATGTCAACTGGGAGTCCGAGTTAGGTAACATAGTGGACATCAACCTTGCAGTACAATCTTTTCTTCAAAAAACTCTTAGCCTTTATAATACCCACTGTCCTATGCTTACAAAACAAGTCACAACCAAAAGGCTTAACAATCCCTGGCTTACAAAGGGAATACTTAAATCTATTAATAAAAAACATGACCTTGAGAAGAAGTATAGGTTAGGAATTGTCTCCAAAGAATTCTCAAAGAATTACTCATTATTGCTGTCTAAGATAATTAGACGAGCCAAAACTAAATACTACGAAGATAAATTTACCCAAATAAAGAGCAACATTAAACAAACTTGGAGAACAATTTCTCAAATATTGGGATCAAAGAAGTCTTTAAATAACAAACCGACTCTCCTGTCTAATAACGATGGTCAGCTTTCAGCCTCTGATTCTGCTACTGAGTTCAATAGGTTCTTCTCTTCCATTGGTTCATCCCTTGCAAATGATATTCCATCTTCCAGTACAGACATTAATGACTATCTTTCAGGTAACTATCCACAGTCTCTGTACCTAAAGCCTATTAATTCCACTGACGTCAATGAGATAATCCTTTCCCTTAAAACCAAGTCTGGTGCCCTTGAGGAGATACCAACTTTAATTTACAAAAAAGCCTCCAGATCTTTAGCCCCTGCTATTGCTTTGCTCTTCAACAAGTCACTTGAACTCCAAACCTTCCCAGATATTCTAAAAAAAGCGAGAGTAACGCCTGTCCACAAATGTGGTAATCTCACAGATGTTAACAACTACAGACCTATATCTATCCTGCCAAACTTGTCAAAAATTTTTGAAAAACTAATCTATAAGCAGCTTTACTCATATCTAGCCAAACTCAATATACTTAGCCCTTGCCAATATGGCTTCAGACCCAAAAAAAGCACTAACGATGCACTTATTAGTATGCTTAACTCGATTCATACAGCTCTTGATAAAAATGAGTTCTCTGTTGGGTTGTTTGTGGACCTGCGTAAAGCTTTTGACACTGTCAACCACCAAAACCTTCTTCTTAAATTACATCATTATGGAGTCAGAGGACACTCCCTACAATACCTCAAATCCTACCTTACTGACAGGCTCCAATATGTTTCTGTGAATAATACAATTTCTCCCACCCTACCCATCAACATTGGTGTTCCCCAGGGCAGCATACTTGGCCCTCTCCTCTTTCTCATCTACATTAATGACCTTCCAAATGCCTCCCAACACCTCAAACCAATTCTATTTGCTGACGACACAACCTTCATTTACTCCAGTCCTGATCCCCTTGCTCTAAATGCCACAGTAAATACTGAGCTAAATAAAGTCCATCTGTGGCTAACTGCCAACAAACTCACCCTTAACATTGACAAAACCTTTTATATTCTGTTTGGCAATAAATCCTCTAATCAAATAAATCTCAAAATAAACAATACCCAAATTTGTAACAAATTAGATGGCAAATTCCTTGGCATTCTCATTGACCACAAGCTTAATTTCCAGGGACACATTCTAAACATATCAAAAAAAGTTTCAAAAACTGTGGGCATTCTTTCTAAGATCAGATATTATGTACCACGCCCTGCCCTGGTGACTCTCTATTACTCCCTTATCTATCCATATCTCAACTATGGTATTTGTGCTTGGGGCTCTACTACCCAAAATCACTTACGTCCTCTAATTACTCAACACAAAGCTGCTATTAGGACAATATCCAATTCTGGCCCCAGACATCACTCGGTACCCCTACTTAAATCTCTGAATATGTTAGACATTAAGTCACTGCACATTCTCTCATGTGTATTATACATATATAAAACGCTAAACTATAATGCCAATCCTGATCTCAAAAGCTTCATAGAAGGTTGTATCAGAACCCATGAGCATCACACCAGAAATAAATACAGTTTTGATATTCCTAGAGTACGACTTAATCAAACTAGAAATGCTCTACAAATCAAGGGGCCCAGAATGTGGAATGACCTTCCCAACCATGTTAAAGACTGTACCTCTCTCAACCAGTTTAAGTTAAAAGCGAAGCTATACCTAATAAATTCCCTGTAACCTACCTTACCCTTCTATTGTCAACCAATGTCTGTTTTTTTCTTTAAAGAGCGCTGTTTGTCGACATAATTGTATTTGTGCTGCTTTTTCATCTATGTTTTCATTTCTTGTTTTCATTCTACTCATTATGCTCAATTAGTATTAAGCTTGTCATTTAAGTTTATCATGCCCGAAACGCTTTGCGTAATAGTGGCTTTAGGCATTGTATGTACTAGCTATACCTATAAGTTAAACAATCCTTGTAAATATTTATTGTATGTATGTACCTTTACCTAAATAAAATTGTATTGTATTGTATTGTATTATTAATATAGCCTAAATAAACACTTGTTAACCGACAGATAAATTTACGTGACATCTCACGTCCTAATTTCATTTAAGTGTAGGACTTAAAAGTCCAAAAGAAAACGTGAATAATGAGTTATTTAGTGACTGCTTTATGTGTTGTGGTGGTGATCTGGGTGCTCAAGAAATTTTGGCCCGACTTAAGACAAAGGTTAGTTTACCTTGACAAGGATGTGATGTTCTTGATCTCGTTCTGAATATAAATTTGGGTGAAGATGAAACCACATAATTGTGCCAATACATGAGATACAAAGCAGCTGTTTCGGGCCCAGAAGTCCTGCCGGAGGTGTTAGTCTAACAGGGTTGTTCTAACCAAGGATTAATTGCAGGTATATGTGGGTAATGAGGCTAGGAATGCTCGACCCACCCTGCTTATTTGTGTCAATGTCTGAGCTAATGTCTACCTACCTCCCTCCCTTCCCCTCTCTATCTATATCTCAATTTCGCGTTCTCTCTCTCTCTCCCTCCCCACCACCTTCCAGACTCTTTGTTTCTCCTCTCCTCTCTTGCGTTCCTCTCTCCTTACTTCCCATCTTTCTATGTGTGCCTCCTCCTCCCGGCAGCTGTACCGCCACCCACCACTTCTGGTCCGCCACCCACCACTTCTGGTCGCCCGCAGGTACTTCGCATCGTTCATGAACTCCTTAACCCAGCACTCGGACGCAAAGGTGGAAGAAATGAAGAAGGACGTGTTCTCTAAGCTGAGCACGGTGGTGTCCCACGACCCAGAGCTCAGGAAGCATAATGCTATCAAGATCCTCGAAATTGGCGTCGGTACAGGTGAGCACAAACACCCGGCCTCTATTGACGGCTAGAAGTCTATTTTTATCTTATTTTTGTACCCTTTTAGATACAAAAGATACAATCGAAGCCAAAAGATACAATTTAAGATACAATCGAAGCCTTCTGGTAAGCCTAGTTTTTTTTTTTTGCTGATTTGTTTTCAGGCATAATTGTGAGGCTGATTTTGGTTGGTGAAGCTTCCTCGACTATTGCATGTGATGGTGCAATGAAGCTCGGGCCTTTCCCCCGGGGGATATGACGTTGATGGAACAATGAATCAACGGAAGTTCACCTTCTGTTTTTTTCCCGTTGGGAATTAACATTGGTGGCTGTTTGGGGAATTTATATTTTCTGACGTTGGGAAGGTCTTGGAAACACGTTGATTATTGCCACATTCATCCCCTTCATTGTTGCCACACTCATCCCCTTCATTATTGCCATACTCAGTATCATCACTTTCATTGTTGCCTACACTAATCATTATCACCATTGTTGTTGCTACACCCATTGTCATCACCTGTGTTGTCACTCACTTATCATCACCTTCATTGTTGCCACATTCCCTGCCAACACCTTCATTGTTGCCACATTCCCTGCCAACACCTTCATTGTTGCATTGTTGCCACATTTATACCTGGAAAGAGTCTGGCGGTTCTACTTCCCAAGCCCGGTCCTGTCCTGCTCGGCCCGGGGCCAAGCTTGACAGGTGAGAGCTTGGTCCAACAGGCTGTTGCTTGGAGAGACATATTCATTATCACCTGGCACTTCTTGTCCAGTTTATTCTTGAAGACTTCCCACTTTTGTTCCGGTAATACTTCTTGTATTTGCTGGGAGGATATATTGAACAACCGTAGACCTCTGATGTTCTTAGTGATCTGTTTGTGCCTATGGCACTCCTGCTCTTCACTGGCTCTATTCTGCATTTCTGCAGTGTGGCAAACTCACCTCCCACAGCAGAGGCTGTACAAGCTCACCTCCCACAGCAAGGCTGTACAAGCTCACCTCCCACAGCAAGGCTGTACAAGCTCACCTCCCACAGCAAGGCTGTACAAACTCACCTCCCACAGCAAGGCTGTACAAGCTCACCTCCCACAGCAAGGCTGTACAAGCTCACCTCCCACAGCAAGGCTGTACAAGCTCACCTCCCACAGCAAGGCTGTATATGCTCACCTCCCACAGCAAGGCTGTACAAGCTCACCTCCCACAGCAAGGCTGTATATGCTCACCTCCCACAGCAAGGCTGTATATGCTCACCTCCCACAGCAAAGCTGTATATGCTCCCCTCCCACAGCCAGACTGTACAAGCTCTCCCACAGACAGACTGTACAAGCTCACCTCCCACAGCAAGGCTGTATATGCTCACCTCCCACAGCCAGACTGTATAACTTGACCTCCCACAGCCAGACTGTATAACCTCACCTCCCACAGCCAGACTGTATAACCTCACCTCCCACAGCCAGACTGTACAAGCTCACCTCCCACAGCAAGGCTGTATATGCTCACCTCCCACAGCCAGACTGTATAACCTCACCTCCCACAGCCAGACTATACAAGCTCACCTCCCACAGCAAGGCTGTACAAGCTCACCTCCCACAGCAAGGCTGTATAACCTCACCTCCCACAGCAAGGCTGTATAAGCTCACCTCCCACAGCAAGGATGTATAAGCTCACCTCCCACAGCAAGGATGTATAAGCTCACCTCCCACAGCCAGACTGTACAAGCTCACCTCCCACAGCAAGGCTATATATGATCACCTCCCACAGGAAGGCTGTACAAGCTCACCTCCCACAGCAAGGCTGTATAAGCTCACCTCCCACAGCAAGGCTGTATAACCTCACCTCCCACAGCCAGACTGTACAAGCTCACCTCCCACAGCCAGACTGTACAAGCTCACCTCCCACAGCAAGGCTGTATAAGCTCACCTCCCACAGCAAGGCTGTATAACCTCACCTCCCACGGCAAGGCTGTACAAGCTCACCTCCCACAGCAAGGCTGTATAAGCACACCTCCCACAAGCTGATTGTACAAGCTCACCCCCTACATCCTCCCTCCCCAAATTGTGGTACATAATCTGACCATCCCAAAGTCAGACTGCACTGCTACACCCATAAAATAATTGAGAATATGTAGTGGAACTTCTGATGGTCCCATTTTCCTTGTACAGTTATAGTTATTATATTGAAAGGTACAGTATTTTAGAAGCTATGCCTGAGGAACTGGTCATGCCCTTAAATTAAAAGTGTGACAATTACCAGCACCTGAGAAAAACTGTTGATTTCCATAAAATAGTAATAAGAATGTGAAGTACAAAGGTTGTCCTGTTCATAAGGCACATGTGGCAGATTTACACAATTTTGTTGAATGTAGCTGTGCCTTCCAGACTTGCTAAACCCTTACACTGCTTCACTCACTACAGGTTCTGCAATTTCCTCCTCTGCTCAGATTTCTACATGTGATTGATTATTAAGGATTGTCAATATTTTTCTTATATATACCTGGATGTACAACTTAAATGACTTAGCAGTTTAAGGGTTAAACGGGCTCAGTCTCATGGTTCATTCAGCACAGCAAAAGAAGTTGGTATTCTTTCTAAGATCAGATATTATGTACCCCGCCCTGCCCTGGTGACTCTCTATTACTCCCTCATCTATCCATATCTCAACTATGGTATTTGTGCTTGGGGTTCTACTACCCAAAATCATTTACGTCCTCTAATTACTCAAAACAAAGCTGCTATTATGACAATATCCAACTCTGGCCCCAGACATCACTCGGTACCCCTGCTCAAATCTCTGAATATGTTAGATATTAAGTCACTGCACATTCTCTCATGTGTATTATACATATATAAAACACTGAACTGTAATGCCAAGCCTGACCTCAAAAGCTTCATTGAAGGTTGTAACAGAACCCATGAGCACTACACCAGAAACAAACACAGTTTTGATATTCCAAGAGTGCGACTTAATCAAACTAGAAATGCTCTACAAATTAAGGGACCCAGAATGTGGAATGACCTTCCCAACCATGTTAAAGACTGTACCTCTCTCAACCAGTTTAAGATAAAAACGAAGCACTACCTAATAAATTCCCTGTAACCTACTTTACCCCTCTATTGTCAACCCATGTCTGTTTTTTTAAACAACGCTGTTTGTCGACCAAATTGTATTTGTGCTGCTGTTTCAGCCATGTTCCCCCCTTTTTTATCTTTATTTTTATTTGTTCTCAACACATTTTATTCTTTATACTTAATTAGTATTAAGTTTTAGTCATTAATGTTTTTCCTGCCCGAAACGCTTTGCGTAATAGTGGCTTTAGGCATTGTATGTACTAGCTCTATCTATAAATCTTTCAATTTTTGTAAAATCTCTTGTATGTATGAACCTTACCTGAATAAACATTTATTTATTTAACTGGGCTGATTAGCACTATCTTACCTCTCTAAACAGCACCAAATATTTTTAAATTTTAATGAAACAGCCTAGTTGGTCAAGAGCCAATTCATCTGGAGTTTTATTCCTGGGCAGAGTGAAACCTCTCTTTATACCTGTTGGTGGTGTTCACCTAGCAGTAAATTATGAGTTAGTTGACTATTCTAACTTGCTTTCTGGGGAAGGCAAATCGTTTTCCTTACGGCATCACCTTAGGCCTACCAGGCTTCCTGTCCACAACAACAGAAACCCATATGGGGGGATGTTGTCATCAACAAAGGTATAAAGGTTTTATATACTGTAAGTATATTAATAAATACAAATTTATTAAATTAAGATGTTTCACAGTGTTTTGAGATGTAAAGGATAAAGAAAATATATTTATCCGAAGAGTTATAACAGACCAGACAATGAGTTGGGTCATGCAATGCATAAACTACTGGCCAAACAATAATAGCTGGATTCAAATTAACCAGATACTCATATATAGCTTATAGAACTCTGGAATAAACCAAAGTAATTTATTATGAGTGGCAAAGCAATATTGATAAAGTTTGCATTCTTTTTTTCCAAATAAATGTACTATCATCCACTACCCTTTTATGTGGACCAAAAAAATATTTGTCAGTAGCTCATTTGGCCTTCAATGCCATCTGTTGATGATAGAGGTAATATTTATAACCAAGCTGCTCTATACAGTATTGGGAACCATGTTGGTAAACACACAATTGCTTTTCACGCAATTAATGTCCTTTGAAGATGTGGCATAGTCTCGCAGCCAAAGTGTTCGGTGTTAGTTTCAGAACCTTTCCTTGCATAAATATACCTTGTACATATTTTTGTATTCTTATGTTTTATGTCAGTTTTATTTACGTTCACTATTACAGTGTTTTTAATTCCGAGTTCTGCATCACTAATTCCCATTCATTTACATTCAGAGTTCTGTATCACTAAGTCACAATCACTTACATTCAGAGTTCTGTATCACTAATTCACATTCACTTACATTCATAGTTCTGTATCACTAATTTACATTACATTCATTACAATTTCTTTACATTTCAACAATTTGCTTATTTATTAAATGTTTCTGCTTATCGATACTGTATTGTAAACATTCATAGCCAGTGTGATTTGTAATTGCCAGGGACGAACTTTGCTTACTATCCTGAGGGGGCTCGTCTGGTTGTGGTGGACCCCAACCCACACTTCAAGGCCTACTATGACAACAACAGGAAAAAGTTCCCCAACATACACTCTGAAGAAATCATTGTCTCCACTGGTAAATCTAGTCTTGTATAATACTTTGTGTGTATTGAATTTACTTGCACTAAAAAAAAAAGTGTTTCCGTCTCTATTAAATTTTTCTTTGTGCTATACATTTTCAAACCTCACGAGTCCTTAAACTAATATGCTCTGACTCTGTTACAAAAATGCCAGGTTATATACTATGTGAAACGTATACATGATAACGTGTTTTTATATATATATATATTTTTATATATTTTTAGCTTTTTATATTTAACATGTTGAAGGATTTAAACAAAGGTGCTGCATGCTGTCTATAGTTGGAGTTTATTGATGTTTTAATTACTGATGTGTTCAGTACTCTAATTTTATATGAGGTAGTCT